CAAATCAATTTAAAATTACTGGTATAGAGAATACATTACTGTTTTGGTTACTTTTCTCTCACTGCTGAGACAAAATACCAACACACAAAATTAAGGCACGAAAAATTTATTTAGTTCACAGTTAGTGGAGGTTTCGGTCCATACTAAGCTGGCTGTAAGGCAGGGATGCACTCGGTGGAGAGCAGCAGTTCATGGTGGTAGAAAACAGCAAAACAACAAGAGGTAAAAGAGAGGAGCAGCAGTTGCAGCAGCTAGCAAGCCTCCCTCCCTTATACTATATTCAGTCTACCCACCCCAGGGCGGGTGTAGCACCTACACTCATAATACCAACACTGAATCATGAATTCATCACAAACTATAGAAGCCTGCCCCAATGACTGCATGAGGCTTGGGGGGACAACTGAACACAAACCATAACACTGGTATAGCAAATAAATTGCTGGTATAGAGAATATTTTTTTTTCATTTATGTATTTGGTACAGGGTCTCACTAAGCAGCTCAGACTTGTAGTCATCCTCTTGTTTTCAGTGTTCCCAGTGCTGAGATTACAGGCATTCATCCCTAAGCCTAGACTCGGTCACTGGCTCAACATGCTCTGGGGGCAGGGCCAGCCCAGCATTGAGGACTGCAGATCAAAACCCAGTCCTTGTATTTGCCTAAGCAGGCGCTTAGTTCACTGAGCTATCTCACCAGCCTGAGAATACATTTAAAGGGTGCCACCGGCAAGCAATCCAGTCTTTGTGATTTCCTTTTGTTTATTTTTGTCTTTTTCAGACAGGGTCTCCCTATGCAGTTCAGGCTGGCCTTGAGATCACTTTGTAGCCCAGGGTGGTCTCAAGATAGCAAAGATCCTCCTGCCTCAGCCTCCCAAGTGCTGAGATTATAGGTCTACACCACCATGCCCAGCTTCTTCTACTTTTTAATCTCAACTAACAGATCTCTGTATCACCCCTTTCATTGCTAACCAAGAGATTTAAATTAAACAAGCCCCAGTTCTTCTGCACAGCATAACGTCTCCTGCTGTGGCCCTTTACCCCCACCTCCTAGCCTACACTGCCTGCATGCTCCAAATTCACTTCTGGACAAGTCCTCCTGTCTTACCACACACACTATCAGTACCTGGCCATTCTGTCTTCTCACTTACTAACCAAAGATCAAGGTCCTGATCTAGTCATTCTTTCCAGCATGAGCTGTACTAAAGAGACTAGTGGAAATAAAATTACCCCCAGCTCTCCTCCCACTCATGTCCTGCTTTGTATGATTCATACCTCAAGTAGACCCTGCAGCCTGCCACGTCGCCTTCTTCTCTCCACACCAGTCACCAGCAGAGGGTCGCTGTGACACCCGTCCACTACCCACAGGTGCTGCTACAGACAAGCTCCTTCTCATGTTCACTGTCGCTCATGCTCACCCCTCCAACACACGCACACGCACACGCACACATACACACAGAGTCCACACACGGTTCCTGTGGCCCTGGCTAGGTCTCCATAACTGTCACCACTGGAACACCAGATTATACATGTGCCCACTGTCTACACCTCCTTCAGTCTGTCCAGTGCTAACAAACAGGAAGAGCCCAAGGACATGGTAGGCCTCTGGTCACCCTCCAACTCTGAGCACCTCCTCCCACACCTCACAAAGAATAGGTTTGGGGTCCACCAAGGGCAGTGAGGCCCCATCAGGGTGGCATCCACTCAAAGCAATGACTCTACAGAGCAAATTATCTACCAAGTGTCAAAGATTTTGAGATGACTGGAATTAACACTTCCTTTGAGACTCTCACAATGGAAAAAAATAAAATAAAAAAATATCATATACCCTGGGAAATACACACAGGAGAGATGCCTGGTTTACACTGAGAGCCCAGGCTCTACAATAGCTTTGAAGGTGTGGTTGTAGAATGGAGAGTGAACTGGGCCAAGCAGACAGACTGACTGACTGACAGGCAGACACACACACACACACACACACACACACACACACGCACAAAGACTGGTGTGCAGAAACACAGATTCCAGAAGAAGCAGGGCAGTTCACTCCGGCTCACACCAGCTGCTCAGTTTGCAGCGCCTGGGTAGTATCAACAGATTAAATAAATCACCCCCCCAGTCTGTGCTTCCAGTCAACTGGGAGAGTAAGGTACAAAATAAATTACCCAAAGTGAAGGCTGTGACTAATGTCCAGTGCTCACGGAGAAGGGAGAGGAAAAGGTTAATTGGAATTCCAGTCCTAAGTGCAAAGATCATTGTGAGAGAAAAGGGACAGCCCTCTGCAGAGGGATTAGGCGTGGAAATCAAGGTGGGGCAGAAGGAGGAGGTTACCTCTGAGGAGGCCAGAGAGGAGGTAGACCAGCAAGAAATGGATTGGACCAGGAGGGGTGGGGCCAGTGGGCTCCACCCCCTTCTGCACCCTTTCCACCTTGGGAGCCCTGGGACCGCTTTGCGAGGTGTACAAACCAGGTGAGCAGGGACTGTAGAGCCCACCACAAAGAGCAGGGTGGAAGTAGTGGGGGCGGGGCTGGGCGCCAGCAGAGTTCAGGGCACTGACAGCCTGGCTTCAGGTTTGGCCTGTCTTGGAGTTGTTGCTGTGTTCCTGAGAAAAGGCTTCCCCTGGCCTCCCTCCCAACCCGTGCTGAAATCTGAAGGAATCAGAAGATGGGGGAGGGGTATGCCTGGCAGAGCTCAGGTGCAGGGAAGATCAAGGGTGACCAGGACCAGGTTTTTGGAAAATCTTGCCCAAGTAGTTGTGTCCTTCAGTGCAGTTTCTCCCCGCAGCCAGCGTGTGGACTGACTGTGGGGGAATCAGAGAACAGGACACACAGAGTGACACCCAAGCCTTTTTCAAAAGACCACACTGAGAACCTGTGGAAGGAAAGGTGGAGAGTGGAGATTCAATTCCATCCCTGACAGGGAAAGGGCAGGGCCTGTACTAATTCCTGGATTCCAGAGATGCCAGTGTGCTGAGGCCTCAGGCAGGTGGTGGGTGGGATCTTGGATCCTGGGAGGGAGGCAGAGTCCACACACTAAATTCACATCAGGGCTGCCTCTAGGCTAGCCCTCAGCATTTCCATGCACACTGAGAATTACTGAGCTGGTCATTTACCTATTTGAGACTGAAAAAGTAAAAACCCAAACAGAAGAGTAAAAGATGCCTGCTTTGGCAATCTGGCACAGTCTGATGTCAGCTACTACTTTACTCACAACAGCGGTGTGTCTTTTTGCAGGTGCCCTGGAGGGGCCATGGTGCCAAGCCAGTTGTGGGGGAGACTGAAGAAGCCCTTTCTCTTCCTGAGCAGCGCCTTCCTCCTCCTGGGCCTGACTTTGCTGAGCATACGGCCAAACCTCACCCATTTGGCTTATATCTTCCTCATCTTTGCTGGCATTCTCTTCTTGGGGTGTCTACTGGCTGCTTTTGTGGAATGGCGCCTCCGATCAATGCAGAGAGCAAGGCAGTCTGTGGAGACCGAGAGCCAAGGGACCTCAGTCAGTGGACGGTGAGTTGACGGTGGGCAGGATGATCTGAATACACTTGAGATTGGTTCTTCCTCTGTCCCTCTAGTTACTTACCATAGACTCTGCTTTCCTCCGACACTCTGAGGAGTCCGGGCTAACAAAGGGGTATTTTGTGGACAGTGTTCAGGAAGAAGGAAAATAGGTCCTTTCAAGAATTTGTTAATGACCTTCTTTCTCCTCCCTCAGAGACAATGAAGCTTTTGAGGTACCAACCTATGAGGAGGCAGTGGTGACATCAGAGACACAGAACGTCCCCCAAGAAGAGGATCAGCCACCACCTGCTTACTGCAGTGTTGTAGTCTGCTCAGGACTGGACAGCGGACAGGCTCCCCAACCAGAGAGACCCAGGACAGGCAGATTGGAAAATCGTGCGGGCTCTGAGGGGACCATGGCTCAGGGAGGAAACCATGGAAGACCCCTTATCAGCCTCAGGCTTCGGGGACCACGTGTTGTATCTACAGCTCCCGATTTGCAGAGCATGAGAGGGACCCCCAAGGTGGAGCCCCTGACTCCACCCCCTGCCTATGATGACTGTTTTGCTCGCCCCGATGATGATAATGTTTTCTATGAAGACAGCTGGTCACACGCCTAAAGGACTAGCTCAGGACTTCCCTCTCTCCACAGCAGACCCACTGACTCACATGACCAGCATTTTAGGGTCAGAGACATTTCTACCTGTCAGGAACTGCATTTCCACCTAAATATCATAAATGGAGACTTGGAACCAGAGAAGAAGGCCATGTAGGCGACACAATGTGAGTCTTCCTGCAACGCTGACTGACCTGCCCATGTCCAGTATTTCCAGGTAGAGCGAAGATGAAGAGCAGGAGCCTGGAGAAGGAAGAAAAGAAGTGAGGCGAAGCTGTGTTATATCCGCCATGGATGCTCTGCCTCGATCTGATGCCTCAGTTTTTCAGTCATGTGAGGTATTCTTAACCTCTTTAGAAAATGAGGACCCAAGGATTAGAGGATTTGGATAATTTGCACATGAATACACTGCCAGTAACATTTAAAAAAAAAAAAAGCATTAACAGACTTATATTCCAAAGCCTACTGCATTATCAGTACCATGTAACAAACGGGAAGCCAGCTTGTCTTGAGACCGCTGCTGGGGATGGCGGGGTGGGCTGAGCAGGACCGCGAACACGACCGGCCTCCCTCAAGAGCGCCCTCTAGTACAAGAGGCGCCTTCTGGCCCCAGCCGACCTACTCTAAAGCCGCGAGCCGGCGGGCCACAAGGGTCTCTGAGAAGAAATTGCGAGAGGCGGGGCGGCGGGGGCGGGGGCGTCCGGGGAGGGACTGCGGTTTCCGCGGGAAAGCTTAACCAATGGGATTCTTAGGTGGGCGGGGTACTTTCTTTGCCCGCCTCTTCCACTTCCGTTTCCCCGGCTCCTGCTCTCGCCCCATTGGACGGGGCTGCCCCGGCGGCATCTCTGCGCCTGCGCACACACCTACCGCGACGGGGGCGACACTTGCGTGGCGCCGGGCGGGCGCTAGGAGCGGTAGTGCGCAGGCGCGGGTGCGACGGTGGCGGGGGTAGGGTGGGATGCGGAGGAAGGGGGCGGAGGGGCGGAGAGTCGGCTTGGGTTGTGGGCAGTCCGTGCACAGCCCGGGAAAAGCGGGTAATGCGGCCCCTAGCGCGGCGGCCCGGCCCGCTGTGCAGCAAAAGGGGCTCATGGCTGCCGACCGCAGGCGCAGGTGAGTGAGGGACGCCCCGGGGGGCTCGGGGAGGCCCGGGGAAAAAGGGCCTCGGCCGGGGCGTGCGGCCCTGCAGCCCCTCGGCGGAGCCCTGGGAAGCGGCCGCGGCCGCGCTCCCTGCCAAGGGCGTGCGTGCTGCCGAGTCGGGGCGCCCCGAGCCTCCCCTCGCGCGGGGGTGTGCGGGCTGGTCCCTCGGCCTGGTGCCCTGTGCACGGAGGCGCCAGTTCCCTTTGTCTCTCCCAGCCTAAGAGTAGCCCTGCCCTGTCCTGCTAGATTGCATCTTCTCCTCAAGATGCGCCAACCTCTCCTCTGCTCACCGTACAAACTGTATATAGTCTGATCCTTTAAGAACCGATGAGACCTGCAGACTTGAGTGTTGTGTGCGTTTGCCCTGGGTTGCCTGCATCGTGACCTGCATTTTCTGTGTACAGTGACAGTATTTTTTTCAAAGAATTCAGCACAGGCTTTGGGAGTTGAGCGCTTGGAAAGAGCTAGTGGGTTCCTGTAGGTCCGTGAGTGTCTCTGCCCCTCTTGGTCCCCGTTCGAGGCAGACAGTCACCCAGGTGACTTATTTTTAATTAGCGCTGTTCCAAACCAGGAGATTAATTTAGGACTTTGAAGAAGGGTCCTTCAGGAGGACACCGATCTTTGGGATGCTCACAGTTAGGACTTACCCCGTGGTGTGATGGGAAGAAGAGGCAGGTGCGCAGAGAGTGCTTGATACTTTCGATGGAAAGCAGTGAGCTGTTGGATGAAAATCCCTGTCTGGAACTTTCGCTAGAGTTTAGAACTGGTGAGGTGTGGGTATGGATGAGGTTGCGTGGAGAAAGGTATTTTCTGAGAGGGTTTGAATGCCCAGTCAGCAATTAAGGGAGGGTCCAAAGTCCTGTAAGGGAAACAGTGTAGTAGGAGAGGACAGAGAGGATGAAGGTTGGTGTTGTGAAGGCTAGTGGAAGAGAAAGCTTTAAGGAGTACCTATTTAGTCAAGAAAGACATCTGCTCCGTCACTGGTAGTATCTCCTGAGGAAGCAGCCAACAACTGAGGACATCCCCACCTTTGTTTTTACAGAACTTACATATGTCGACATTGTTGCTGTACTGGTGTGCTTTAAGATAGTTCTTAAGTGGGTGATTTGTATAGATGCTGTTATGGAGGAGGTTTCAGTGATGGGTTTGGAGTAGGAGGTGTAGTATTCTCAGCATCCCTTCTGCCTCCGGACCCCACTTGCTCTCCTTGATCTCTTGAGTTCCTCCCTTTTTATCTAACTTTATGAACCTCGAGGCCAAGAACATTTTCATGCTACATACACCCATCCTGGATGCGTGGTATTTCAGTGATTTGAAGATGCTGTTTCCTTCCACTTATTAATCATTTTTTTTAAAGCTTGGATATGCTTTTTTCTTAAAAGAGTACAAATTAGAATTAAAACAAAATTACAAGTGATACAGAATTTCATTTAACTAAAGTAATATGAATTTCATAGCATTCATTGTAATGTATCTCATCTTTATTTATTTTTATTTTTATTTATTTTTTTGCGGAACCGGGGATTGAACTCAGGCCCTTGTGCTTGCCAGGCAAGCACTTATTCTACTGAGCTATCTCCCCGGCCCCTGCATATCATCTTTAAATCAACCTGCGCTTTTTCACAATGGGTTTGCCACAAGAGCGCAGGTGTAGTGAAAACCACCACTAAATCCAAGCCATCATGAGAAAGGAAAAGACTCACATTAATATTGTCATCATTGAACAAGTGGACTCCAGTAAGTCCACCACCAGCAGCCATTGATCTACAGATGCAGTGGCATTGACAAAAGGACCATTGAAAAATTTGAGAAGGAGGCTGCTAAGATGGGTAAGGGTTCCTTCAAGTATGCCTGGGTGTTAGACGAGCTGAAAGCCAAGTGTGAGCTTGGTATCACCATTGACATCTCCCTGTGGAAATTTGAGACCAGCAAGTATTATGTGTCCATCATTGATACCCCTGGACACAGAGACCTCATCGAAAACATGATTACAGGCACATCTCAGGCTGACCGTGCTGTCCTGATTGTTGCTGCTGGAGTCGGTGAATTTGAAGCTGGTATCTCCCAAGAACGGGCAGACCTGTGAGCATGCCCTTCTGGCTTACACACTGGGTGTGAAACAAGTAATTGTTGGAGTTAACAAAATGGATTCCACGGAGCCACCCTACAGCCAGAAGAGATACGAGGAAATCATTAAGGAAGTCAGCACCTACATTAAATAAATTGACTACAACCCTGACACTCTTGCTTTTATGCCAAGTTCTGGTTGGAATGGTGACAACATGCTGGAACCGAGTGTTAACATGCCTTGGTTCAAAAGATGGAAGGTCACTCGTAAAGATGGCAATGCCAGGGGAACCACACTGCTTGAAGCTTTGGATTGCATCCTCCCACCCACTCACCCCACTAACAAGCCTTTGTGGCTGCCCCTCTAGGATGTCTACAAAATCGGTGGTTTTGGCACTGTTCCCCTGGGCCAAGTGGAGACTGGTGCTAAGACTGGCATGGTGGTCACCTTTGCTGCAGTCAGCGTCACAACTGAAGTCAATTCTGTTGAGATGCACCATAAATCTTTGAGTGAAGCTCTTCCTGGGGACAATGTGGGCTTCAATGTCAAGAACGTGTCTTCAGGGCTGGGGAGATGGCTCAGTGGAATAAGCACTTGCTTGGCAAGCGCAAGGGCCTGAGTTCAATCCCTGGTTCCGCCAAAAAAAGAATGTGTTTTCAAAGGTGTCTGGCGTGGCAATGTGACTGGTGACAGCAAAAATAACCCACCAATGGAAGCAGCTGGTTTCACTGCTCAGGTGATTATCCTGAACCAACCCAGCCAGATCAGTGCTGCCTATGCCCTGTCCTGGATTGTCACACAGCTCACATTGCTTGCCAGTTTGCTGAGCTGAAAAAAAAGATTGATCGCCGGTCTGGTAAGAAGCTGGAAGATGGGCCCAAGTTTTAGAAATCTGGTGATGCTGCCATTGTTGACATGGTTCCAGGCAAGCCCATGTGTGTCAAGAACTTCTCTTACTACCCACCTCTGGGTCGTTTCCTTGTTCATGATATGAGACAGACAATTGCTGTGGGCGTCATCAAAGCTGTGGACAAGGCAGCTGCTGGAGCTGGCAAGATCACCAAGTCTGCCCAGAAAGCTAAGAAGACTAAATGAATATTGTCCTTGGCACCTGACACCCCATTCTCAGGTGAGGGCTGGGCCCTGGGCATCCACAGAGGGGGACCCTGGATGGCTTTCTGCCCTTCTCCAGGCCCATTTCCAGAGTAGCAGTCCTGCCATGCATTACTGACCTCGCTACCCACTTCCTCCTACTGCCTGTCTTCTTTTCCCAGGATGAAGACATTGTGGAGCTGCAGAGCATCTTGGCCATGAGTGACCTGGCCCCACCCAGGGCTGTCGGGAGGCGGGGGGAGGGTAAAGAGAACAGTGGCTCTCATACTGTAGGAAAGAGCCCATGGTGATTTGTGGAAAAACAAATGTGGTAGAGGGGACCAATGACTGAAAAGTCGGCATTATGAGGATACCCAAAACAGTGTTAGCTGGAGGGAATGTAGCTCAGAGGTGGACTGTGCAGATTGCACAAAGCCCTGGATTTAGTCCTAGTACTAGAAAAAGTTAAGTCTCTTGGTCAGAAGAGGAAATGCCAAATGGGTAACACGTGGATAAAACGCAGTCGGTGAAAGAAGTCAGCGGGAAAAAGATGGTCACAGTTAGAACCCCAGGTAGGGCACGATGGCATGTTTGAGAGTCTCCTAAGACTCCAACACAAACCTCACTGACAAACATCTGTTAGAAAGCAAGAGATCTTTATAAGAGGCTTTGAAGAGATAAAAAAAAAAGCTAAGTGGCAAGTGTCAGTCAGAGCTGAGAGAAAATGCCCTCAAAGCACACGGTGCAGATGGAGTTGAAAGGTACAGCATTCTGAGGGACTAAGCAGAAACTCAGGGCATACTATTCCTCCAGCTTGTAGGTGACAGCTGAGGCTTGTTCGTACTAAATGTGTGAAATGCCAGACCACACCGACACTCAGGCTGTAAAGCGTGCCTAGCACATCTAGTGTCTTTGTTCCAGTGAATGAAATTTTTAACCTGTTTTTTGCATAATACTTAAAAACCTGCTTCCATGCCACTTTCAAAGTCCACTTCCTTTTTCCTACATAGCTTCCTACCCAGTGGCCTGATTGCTCTTGACGTGTCCAGTGTCCTGCGGGTTTGTCTGAGACACAGTTCTTGCATATAAGCTGTCAAGGCAATGGCTCATTACCATGGGCGTTGGGGCCTGCCAGTGTAGGAGAGGTTGCAGGAATTCTCCGCTAG